CCATCTGGGGGGCTTTGGGCAAGTCCCTAAACCTCTGGGGATCTGCTCCAATAAACGAGCCCCCAGGTCCCCTTCTGTCCCATGAGCACAGGTCTGTGGACTGTCACCAGCTCTGGGGAGCGGGTGGCCCCTGGCATTCTGGTCAGTGCCTTCTCGAGCTGCCAGCTGTAGCTGTAGAAGCCATGGACATGGACAGAGGGTGAAGTCCGGGAGGACAGGGCCCCTTCTGGTTTGCTCACTGAGTCCCAGATACTGTGCCTGCCAAGTATGGGTGTCCTGCCAACAGGCTGCCCGTGGGAGGCTGGCTCTGCCTCCCTGTGGCCCACTGGAGGGCACCTTCATGGCTCGGCACGTTTCCAGAGGAGGAAAAGGTGTGTGAGATGGCTGTGAGGAGCAGCAGGACTCCCTGAGGAGGGCAGGAGGGCGGCTGGGGTGCATTCCAGCCCTGGGGCAGCACGTGTAAGGGCCCTGTGCTCTCACCGAAGGAACCAGCAAGGCCCGAGAGTGGCACAGGGAGGGGCATCCGAGGTTTCCTGTGGACTCCCAGATGAGGGCAGACTGGGAGGGGGACGTGAGGCAGAGAGGCCAGCCCAGAGGCCACTGCACTGAGATGGGGCTGGGCTCGGAGAGACCATAGGGTGGGCTTTTCACGATACTCTCCCAGCAGCACGGGCAGCAGGACCTGTGCTGTGGTGGACGGTGCTCTGTGCACTGCTCGACATGGCAGCATGGCTGCCCAGCACGAGGATGTGACCAGAACATCTGAGGACAGTTCCTTTTCAATTTCACTTCACTTTAATTAAACAAGGTAACTGTATTGGGCAGCACAGCTCTGAACGGGTCCAATGAGCCATAAAATGTCATTTAAGAAAGACCTGGTGTTGTCACAGGCAGCCACGGAGGAGCCCCAGCCACCAGCCAGGCAGCGCTGGGCCACAGCCGCTTGCCTCCTCCGCTCCGTACTCTCTCGTTCCCTCTGGGGCCGCTGTCCCCATTCTGCTCAGACCTGCCACCAAAAGGTTACGTCTCTTATGAGAAAATATCTCCAGGACCTTGGATCTGGCAGACTTCTTGGGTATGAGCCCGAACACAGACACAAAAGGCAGAGACAAACCAGACACTTTGGTGCAACAAAAGACACTTCCAGAAGGGTGAGGGCTGCCCACTGCCCACGGGTGGTAGGTCCGAGATGGAGGATGCACAGAACGTCAGGACTCCTCAACCCATGACCACCGCGCACGGCCCACCTCCCCGGACTCGGCAGAACTTCCTCTAAAGACGATGCACACAGTCAAAAGTCAGATGAGATGCTCAGTGCCCCGGTCAACAGGCGAAGGAGATCAAGGCCACAAGGAGATGCCACTTCTCACCCATGAGGGTGTGAAGTGTTCTCACTAAAGAGTGAGAACAGCCAGCCTTGGCCCGTGTGCAGAGAAACCGGGACCACAGCGCGGTGGAGGAGAGTGGTGAGGTGTCCCTGAGTTGGACAGACTGCCGTCCAATCCTGCAGTCCTCTTCTGGGCATGTGCCGTGCACACCTTCCCAGCAGCCCGCTCACCTGCCCCAAACTGGAAATGACACAAATGTCCATCTGCAGATGAACCAAGTGGTCTAACATCTCTGTCACAAAAGGAAGGGGCCCTGGCAGAAGCCGCATGGATGAGCCTCGAGGACCTTGGTGGGGTGATCAGTCAGTCACACAGGACAGATGCCACTCAAGTTCACTCAGGGAGGCACCCAGAGTGTGACATCCGCAGCACAGGGCAGCACAGGGAAGGGGCAGTGCAGACAGCTTGCTCCACAGGTCCCTCGGGGGCACAGGTGGGCGGGAAGCACCTGAGTCAGCCAGGGGCTGAGGGGGACCTGGCTGGGCAGGTGCTGGGACCGCCCCCTGCCGTGTGGCAGGTCACTGAGCAATCATTTCTAGCCAGCAGGAGCAGACAGGCTTGAGCAACGGGTGGCACCGTTTCACAACAGATTCACAACGAGAGACAAGAAACGGAAGTCCCAATCTTTAGTCCCTGTCAAACAGAAGAACAGGCCTCCCCTGCCACCACCCGCCTGGGGCCTCAGCCAGGGCCCAGTTCCCCAGAGCCTAGCCGTCTGCAGGTGGGCCTCGGGGAGGAAGGGCGAGTGTGCAGCCGGCAGGCTCCACACTGGGCTCCCGTCAGCTCTGCCTCCCCACAGCCTCAGGCTGACCCAGCAACGGGCCCTCTTGGACCCTTTGAAAAACTGAGGAGTAGGAGAAAACTCTGGAGAGGAGACGTTAGGGACCAAGCAGAAGTGGAGAAGCAGGAGCTGGGCGCGTTCCTGCGTGAGAGGTAGCCCTTCAGCCAGAGGCAGCACTACCCGGGGATCCTGAGCCCCCACGGGCTAGCCGCCCCCCGCCCCCAGCTGCAGCAGAAAAATGCGCAGAAGCGCTCACCCTTTACTTGTCCGCCACCATCGAGTGGACCGCGGCCCTATCTACTTTGATTTCAAAGCGCATTATCGTCCACTTGCTAACCAACCAGACGGCAGAGAAAGAACTGAGCAGGCCCCGGGCCTAACCCTGAAAGGCCTGTGAACAAGGGCGCTGTGCTGCCGTGCAGCTGGACGGCGCTGCAGGGCCGGGCGGCTGCACAGGAAAGCTTGGGAAGGCTTTCTCTGGTCCTTGTGCAATTCATTCCTTTTAAGACGGGGAAATGGGAAGAAAGGCTTCATGTCCAGGGTTTTGGGCCTTTGATCATTTGATGAAGGCTGGGACGGCAACGTGGGCCTCCAGCTTCTCAGGCCAGACAAAGACGGCCCTGGCCGCACAGGACAAAACCCCCTGTGGCCTCTCGGGGTGGCGCCTGGGAAAGGCCCACCTCAGCTGGTGAGGGGCCGCCTGCCCTTTGATCTCTCCAGAGAGCAGGGCGGCCCAGGTCAGGGGATTTCACACCGCACCCCCCCCCCCCCGCCAGAGAAGGGGAGCAGGTCAGGGAGAGGGCGGGCGACCCAGCTCAGAGCCAGCCGGGAGCCTGCCCGCTTCGGCCAGTTCCACATGGCTGGCTGGCATTGTTGAGAACTGCGTCCACGCTTCAAATGGAATTTGACATTACAGGCCACAGCGGAGCCGGCAAATGGCGCGCCAGGGCGCCCGACAATGGTGGGCCCCGCCCCAGCAGCGGAACCTACTGCCCTGCTTGCCCTCCAGGAGGTGAACTGGCGGCTGAAGGTCCAGGCTGCTTGCATGGATGGCCACCAGGCTGCCCAGCACAGGCCGGCCTCCTTGGCACTTGCTCAGGCTCCCGCGGTTTGGACTAGCAAGCTTCCACTCGGGATGAGTATCTACCAAGTAGCTCAGGAGGGCACGCTGTTGACAAAGGGCTGTAAGGTATTGCTTAGCACGGCGGCCTGCGTTCTGCCGAAGCCGCTCTGGGGTGATGGGAGGGAAATGTGTGTGTTCCCGAGAGAGAAGGCAGGCTGGGTGGCAAGGGCAGAAATAAACATTGTTGATACCCCTGAGCGCCAAGAACTGCAAATTTGTAAAGGAAAAGTTATTGAATGACTCAGCTGGATGAATGGGTAAGAAAAAAACGAAAAAAGAACTGAACTTTTGACTAAAAAGGTGAGGATCGCGTTACATCTTAAAACCAACACACCACTGCAGAGCCGGAGCGTCTGCGTCTTGTCCTGGGTGCTTCCACGGCATTGCCAGCCGACGAGTCAGGTGCCAAGCTGGTACTGGGTGTCCAGAAGCCGGGCTCACCCTCTCCTGGGGCTGCAGAGCAAGGCTGAGCCAGCTGGGTGCCATGCAGGGTGTGGCTCAGCCCTTGGGGGGGCGACGTGGGGTCCAGAGACCCTGCCCAGCACGCAGTCCCGTTGTGCCTGGGTCTTAGCATGTCTTAAGCCTGGGCTAGAGATGGGCTCTATGTCTTTTCTTTCTTTTTGGCCAATGAAGATGGAGTAAGGAAAACACCTACTTAACACTAATAGTAGAAACTAATTTCCACTGTCAAGATCCGCTCTGATGGCTGGGTGAAGGTGAAGAATGGCATGTTCCGGGAGGCAGAGGCTCCGTCCTCGTGTCTGCCCATACGTACACATGCGTGTGTGCATATGTGCGCGTGATCAGGCGATGACTTGCTCACAGCTCAACAGAGGCTACAAAACGCCACCCGTCTCTTTGCCAGGTCCCACGGGGAGCTAATGGACACCACGAGAACAGCACAGTCCTTCCACCCGCAAGCCGCAGTGCGTGGAGGAGGCGCGTGCTCACCGGCTCCTTGGTGATGCCTCCTGCCTGGGCCTGGCGGGCGCCTCTCATGGGTCTCCTCTCTGGAGACCGCCTGGCAAGTGCCAGACCAGCTCCGCCCCTCCTGCCCCCTGTAATCACCACGGGCAGGCTGGCCACAGGTGTCGCTGCACCCCTGCCTTGACGGCAGTGTCCAGGGTCCCCCCGATAGACAGTGCTCCCCTTCTCGGAGGACAAAGAGCCATTGAACAATGTTAAGAGTATTGGGGGGGGCTGGGGATGCAGCACAGTGGAGGGGCCTGTCTAGGGTGTGCAAGGCTCTGGGTTCCACCCCAGCACCCCAAAACAAAAACCCAACCCTCAAGACTGGTTCCTTTGAGATAAGGTGGCTGGCACTGGTGACATTACTACCAGACTAGTAGGGAGACTCTAGTAGGAGACCTGAGCCACACTGTGAGCCTCACTGTGGTCACCCTAGGCTGTCCAGCTTGCTGCAGCATTTAAAGACCCGAGATTGCCCTCTTCTGGTCCTAATGTTGCATGGGAGTGTGTGTGATTGATTCTTATCAGACCTACTATGTGCTCAGCACATTCAGGCTGACAGCAGAGCAGGAACCTGAGAAATAAACCACGCCTGCTGCAAATAGCCTTCCTGTGATTCAGGGAAGGAACAATCGGCTGATTCTCTCCAAGGCCTCCTGTGAATATCACCCCCCGGGTTGCCATGGCAACGCCATCCCATCTCTGAGCCACAACAAAGCAGCCAGACTGGCAGTCTCACCTTTGGCCATCTTATTGAGAACCATGTCAATCAGGACGTAGGTCCCGCTCCGGCCTGCACCATCGCTGTCAACAGAAGGAGAGAGAATGAGGTGCTGCCTGTCCGGTGACCCCGCACTGCAAAGCTAGCAGCACTATCTCCTCTATGTTCAAGGGCTTGGGGAAGGGAAGGGGCTGCGAATTAGAGGGGAGGAGGGGAGGAGGGGAGGGAGGGGGAGGCGGCAGGAGGAGGGGGAGGGGGAGGGGAGAGGGCCGAGAGCTGCTGGGGCAGAAGGCAGGGCAGGAGCAGCCCTGGAGAGGGAGCCTGGGATCAGCCACCCTACTTGGTACACATTTGTCTCTTTCAAGACTTCTTCCCCCTCTCTTTGGCCAGAGGTGGGGTAAATTTTGTCAGAAACAAAACAAAACAAAATGAAGAGGCCTGCCTGTGTTGGAGGGGATGGGTTTACATCCAGAGCATCTGGGGCACTGCCCCGCCTTGCGGGCCGCCCATTTGTTACTTAATCACATTCTTTAAAAAGTGCTCTCATTTCATCTCTTCCTCATCCCACCAGCTAAAATTGGAATATTTACCATCTGGACTAGCGTTGTAAAAATGTCTTGAATTATGTTTTAACAACAGCAAATTGAAAAAAGAAAAAGAAAAGTTTCTTTGCTGGGAGGAAAATGGCCCTGCTGCCATCCCCTCCTCACAGGGACTATGTGGGCAGTTGCTCTCTGACCAGCACGGCCACCAGTGCGGAGTAGATGCTCTCCGACCAAACGGCCACTGACAGAGGAGGACGCTTCTCATCCGCAGGCTCGGACAGTCATTGTGACCGCAAGGGCTCTGTGGCTGCGGCCTCCGCAGCTGTGGGCAGTCTTCACAGTGGAGCACCCCGTCTGGCCTCAGCAAGTGGCTGGGACAGCCGCAGTGGGAGAGATGGACCTTCGCCCAAGCTTCACACACAGGAGACACAGCAGCCCAGGCTGTGGCAGGCCTCAGGTGGCCACAGGTGACCAGTGATGTGCCCCTGCAGAGTCCGTAGGCTGCAGACTCACTCTGCCAACCTCTCCACGGGGGAGGCTGGCGCAGAGCCCTCCCTGCTCCCAGGGGCACCCTGGGGCCACTCACTCTTGCCTCTCCTCTGAACTGCAGATTTGGTCCTTGATCTTTGGAGACAGATTTTCTTTTTATTCCACAGAAAGGAATGTTCAGTGAGATGGCTTTAGAAATCAGAGTTTGAGGTCTTCACCAAAACCAGTTGCCCATGGAGTCTGGCAGGGGCAGAACCCTCGCTGAGCTTTCTCTGGCTGGATCTGTTCCAGCTGGTGGGGGTTTAACCTACTTCAGGGCATGGTCACTGGAATATTGCCCAATGGCCCAGAATCTTGCAATAAGTGAGAGGTGGACATGTCTTTTGTAGGACAGGACTTGTCCCTGCTCATGACTGCCCTGGGCACTTCTCACAAAGGGCCCAAACCTCTCAGGGCAAGACAATGCCACTCACTAAAAACCTACCAAAAATGTTGTCTCAGCTGCAACATGACAATTTAAGAAAAAATAATGTGGGCAGGACACTGACATTTGGAAATCATGGTACACAGCATAGAGCTTGCTAGAAAGAAGACACGTCAGGCAGCTAAGGTGGGTTCAGAGATGGACACACAGCCTCACTCAGCCAGAGGCACAGTGGATGATGCTTATGCTCTGGTTTCCCTTGGGAATTCCAGCAAGATGTAGTCATCGAGCAATTAGAAAGTCCAGCTTTCGTATGGAGTGCACCCGTTATGTTTTGAAATAGCGACACTTACTGATCCAGGTTAAAAGTCGTACTTGCCTGCAGTGAACAATGATTGGACAAGAACGGCCCCTGTAGCACTTGTTTACTTTTCTGAAATAAAAAGAGATATAAAAATTATAGTGATACACTAAGACTCTGCTATTCAAAATAACCAATCACCAAAGCAGAAAGTCCATATCATTGATATCATTTTAAAATAGTCTGTTGGACAAAGAAAATTAAAAATGACACATATCAGTTTAAAGATTTTTCCTTTCGACATAAACTCGTTGAACAGAGCTTTGAAAACAATTCTCAACCCTGACCCCCTTTCCAGGTACGAGCGCCTGGGAGGGTCCTGCCCTGGCTGTCGCCCTCCCACGGGGCCTCCTCCCCCTTCTCCTCAGCTTCTGGGGGGGGGGTCTGACCTCCGTGTGACACGGTGTCTTGATGTTCCACTAAGACGGGGCGGGGGGGTTTGCAAGTCATGCTCAGGATTTCTCACAGCCTGAACATCCTATCGGAATGTGATATTACCAGATGGTCTGAAAGAAGCATCCAAAGATCCTATCTGACCTCTGGGTTTCAGGTAAGTATATCTAAATGACGGAGAAATCACCATGGAGTCCAGACAGTCTTTTCCATTTTTATAAATTTGAGTATGTATAAAAATAGCTCCATTGTGCAGCTTATGAAAATTAATAATGAGAATATATTTAAGATTTCATTAACTAACCTTTGTCCAAATCAGAGGGCTGACTTAAAATTGACTATGTAAGATTCTAGGGTTTTTTTTTTTTTTTAATTCAGTAAAACAAGGAAACATGTTCACATATTTCTTACTTGAGAAAATTAAAGACAGGATCTCAGTTTATCAGAAGGGAAAAATGGATGAAGGGATGTTTCTAGAATGTACTGCGTGAACTCAAACAATGTAAGACTAAAGAAAAACGACAGTACAGAAAAAATGTTTTCCCCTTGAACCAGAAATGGGAAAATCACTTTCTTTGCAAAGGCTTGCCTGTGGAGCAGCGGGGTGGCCAGCTGGAGGTGGAAATTCAATCGATGGCTGCCACAGAGCACCGGGTGGAGGGAGGGAGGTGAGGGCCGGCAACTGGCACTGAGTAGAGACTTCAATACCAGGCAGCCCCGCCACCAGAGGGTTCCTTTTTCCTACTTCCTCCACAGAGTAATAGGACGAGGTACTTCTGACGGGAGTCGGAGCCCCCAACCTGGACAGCGTAAGGCGAGTTGAGGGGGCAGGCTGCAGAGCCTAGATGAGATGCGCCCACCTGCAGATAGGTCGTGTTCAAAGCCTGTTCAGAGCACTTGATCTCGGCTGCTCTCTAGCCTGTGGAAATGGGCAGCATCTTCGTGCTGGTGGACCACCCAGAGAAGCCTTGGAAAAGGGAGGGCTTGGAGCGTGTAAGGCAAGCCAGCACTCTGGTGGTCAGGTCCTTCCTGCAGGGGCCCTTCCTGGCTTTGTACCCTGTGATGGTAAGGCTGGGGAGGTGACAAGTAAGAACGAAGCCACTGTGATCAATAGCACGTGCATGCCAGAACACCTCCAAGTTCTTCACCTTTGGAGACTAGACTGGGAGACAGAGCCATGTGGACCTGCTGCTAAAATCTTCCACTGCTGATGTGGCTGTAAAGATGTCACAAGTGCCAGCTCTGAGAAAGCAAGTTCTGGCCCCAGACATGCACCTCAAAAAGAGGAATGTGAAGCTCACAGCTCATGAGAACTGTGCATGGGGCTGGGCATGGCTGGAATGTACAGGGCCCTGGGCTGCACCCCCGGCAAAAAAAAAAGACTGTGTACACGTGCCTATGTAGGCATGTGCGTATGCATCTGAGTATGTGTGCACACATGTGTGTATGTGTGCACATGCCCATGTGCACGTGTACATGTATGTGTACTCAGCCAGAGTGTGCATGCATGTATGTACACACATGCATGTGTGTATGTATGTACCTGTGAGGATGTGTGCATGCATGTGTGTACAGGAGCACGTGCACAGGTTTGCACACACACATGAATGCATATGGGCACACAAGTAGGTGTGTACGTATATGTAGGTGTATGCACATCCGTGTATATATGCACACATGTGTACATGTGTGTGTGCAGGTGTGTATATGTATGTGTGCATGGGAGTACGTGTGCATGCATGTGTGTGTGTGCGTGCATAGCATCAAGCAAGATCAACTATCAGCCCTCTTTGGGGCTTCACTTTTAAAGTCTTTTCTCCCTCAGACAAATTTCTCAGTGCTGCGTCTGGCTAACGTGAAGGCCTCAGCTCCACACCTGCAGGACCTTCTGCTCTATTCCAAGCTGGGCCACTGCTTGTAAGACGGAACACACTGCTCCTCAACAGGTTCTCTCACTCTGTCCTGACTGGGTCAAGCACAAAGAGAGGCTCGTTAAAAACAAGAGCCTGACACCAGGGCCTTCTGCAGCTGTCTGGGGTAAGGATGTGGGTCTGGGGGCCAGCAGCCATTTGCATCTGCTCAGCTGCCTGTCTGGCAGAGTGCTTCTGCCCTGGCTGGGTGAGGGGCATGTGAGCAGGAGCCGGAGGATGGGCCATGAGGCAGCGTCTCTCTTCTCCACCCGGGAGCCCTGTCTTCATTTGTGGCATACGAGATGTCCTTCTCTCCAGCAGATTGTCACCAGCTGCCTCTGCAGGCCTTTGCAAGGGTTTGCTGTAACTTTAATGTCCACACCAGCTCCCTGCCCTGGGCCAGACTATTACAGCCACCACGAGTGGTCTGGGGGGCACGGGTGGGAGAGAGCTGCAGTGACATGGCTCAGATCTTTATTTACAAAGAACCATGCACTCAGATCAGGGAACATCACAGACAGGAAAGCAAACCCATCGCATGTGGACCCTAAGGGCTCGTCGGGTGGACCCTAGGTGCAGATGCAGATCGTTGGAGGAGATGAGCAACACACAGGGTCTCACTAGTGTCTCAGACACATCCTCAGTCAGCAGGGGGTCTCCACATCCAGGAAACTGGCGTTACTTATGCTTCCACAGGAGGCGTTTACCGAGAAGGAGCGGTTAGTGATACAAACCAACCCTCGGGCCACTGAGTGAGAAGAAACCGCCATGCAAACCAACAGCAAGCAAAGGTGAGGCCGTGAGAGGTTCAGAGGGTCCCCACATGTCCCTGCAGCAGACACAGTTTCCAATGATCACTTTTGTGACTATGCAACTGGGCTCATATTACTAGCTGCAACATCACAAAAATGACACTGGCCACCGCTAATGAGCTGGCAAAGTAAGGCTTTGTCCATGTTTACAGTGAGCAGCGTTAGTGAATGCTATGGCACACAGCAAGAGGTGCAGGAGAGAGGGAGAGAGGACAGACAGCGGGAGAGAGGTTCTCCAAGCGAGGCCTCCCGTGTGATGCTAATTACCCCTTAGCAGTTCTCTGTAGAGTGTAAATGTGCTCCCTCTGGGCTCCAGGAACAGTTAATTACACATCTCAGGAGCCTGATGCACACACCAGGCCGGGGAGAGAAGCTCTGTCTGTCGCTCAGAGGGGAGCAACCCTGCACCCTGCCTCGGAGGCGTCTCCAGACACAGCTGCTGGCACTCGGCTGCTGCACAGAGAACCACCTTCCAGAGATGCACATCTGGGTGTGTCGCCACTGGTGCCCACTGTCCAGGGAAGGTGCGGCCGGCCTGACTGGACTCCCAGTCCTGCCAGACACGGCCAGTAAGGACGGCTGATCCTCCCCAGACGGTCATACGGGGCTAGAAGTTTGCTTTCTTTTCGATTTAACAAAGACTTTTTGGGGCCACGTGTTCTCAGACCCTGGAGCAAGGGAGTTTGGGGAATCCATTTTTCTTTGCGATGTGTTTGGAACCCTGAGGTTTGGGTATGGGTATGTTCCGTTCCATATATGGATACAGACACGTGCCCATATGCATATATGTCAACCACACAGGATGAGCCTAGAGGCAGAGTGCTGGCACGAGTGGCCGCCTCTCAGCTCCATCCGTTTTGCTGGTGATGACTGGTTTGAAGACGACCTCAGGAACCCAGCTGAGATTCCACGTGGCACGTCTCCGTGCACTGGGGAGACATATGCAGTGGCCAGGAAACTGGGGGATGGGCAACAGCTCAGGGTTCTGGGTCCATCTCTGGGGTGGGGACAGAGTTGGATGGGAGTCACTGAGCGTATGTGACAGATGTGACACCAAAGTCCCTCCTTGAGCTCTTTCACAGGCTATCTGACCCAAAGAGCCATCGAGATAAAAATGTTGTAATTATTTCAAGTGGACCAGAAGGCAAAAGGGATCGTGTCACAACCAACTGTAGCCTCCACCTGCAAAAATCTGCAGAGAAGCTGGCCCTGTCAAGGTGACAGTGGCCCCAGGGCCACACAGAACCCTGCTCTTGGGGGCCTGCCATGCGGGGCTAGGACGCGCCTCGCCTTCACTCTGCTCCTTGCCCGAGTGCCTCCGAGGAGGGTGCTGCCTGCCCCGCGCCTGGCTGCGGTGCTGCTGCCTGGGGCCACTGCAGGCCCCACGCTGAGCGACTGCGGCCACCCCTGAGACTGCAGCCCCACTCCGTGCGCAAGGGCTTGCTGTGCTGTGCTGCTGACCTCTTCCTGCCACAGCCTCGCGTTTGTGCAGCACACGCTTCAGGACAGGACAGCTCGTGGGGCGACTGGCCAACTGTCCGAAGGACAGCCACTGAGAACGCAGCCGCGAGCCCCCCCGTGCCCAGGCTCTTGCCTGAGACAGTCCACCCCAGAATCCAGCCACCTTATTAAGCCTCACCCCAGCCGCCGGGCGAGGGCCCAGCTCGCCACACAGGCCTCACATCCTCACGTTGGGGCTGCCGGCTGAACCAAGGGCCACCTTCCCACCATGTTAAGGTGTCCGCCTCGCCACTAACCAGCACCAAGGCTGGAGGACAGCGGCAGGTCCCCCACCTCTTGCCCCAGAGGATGCCCACAGCTGGAGCCACCCAGACACGGGATCTGGTGCCAGCCCGTGCCCTGCTGCCTGGTGTCACCCTCTGGCTACATGGGCTGCTGGCAGCTCTTTACCTGCGGAAGTCCAGGAGTGCCCCTGTGGAGGAGGGGACGCCCCCGTCATACCAGCTCAGGAAGTGGAACTGGGTCACGGTGCGCGTCTGCCGAGTCTGCAGGTTCTTTAGGTAGAAGCTCCTCACCAGGAAGTCCTCGCACCAGATGTGCTCCGAGACCAGGTTGACCTGAGGGGGAGGGGACAGGAGGGGACAGGACAGGCCATGCATCGTGAGTCACATGCGCCTGCACCTCACGCTGCCGTTGGGGCGGAGGGGCGTCTTACAACATGACAGCTGCTGCAGCTCAGCCTTGGCTTGGCCCGATGCTTCCCTCTGCTCTGAAATCACCTGCACAGACACCGGGAAGCCCCTGGCCCAGGCAAGGAGCCCCTCGGTCCTCGGGACAGTGGCAGTGCTCTCTGTGGAAGGAGGTCCTGCCTGGGTGGCTGGGAGCAGGATCGACCATCCTGGAGGATGCACTTCATATGTGGAGATACACGGTGCACCCCAGAGTCCGGGCCACAACCACACAGCCATGTGGCACCTACACCCCTGAGAACCTGTGGTGCTGCCTGCCCTGTGTGGCCCTGCCTCTGCCTAGTGGACAGGACTGGTCAGCTGCTGGCAACCTCACCCAGCAGCGGGGCACCTGCTCCTCCCTGGGGACGTAGGCACCCCTGCCTCGGTACCTCGTAGAAGTGGTAGAGGTTGGCGCCTTCGTCCGGCCAGTAGTGGTGGCTCTGGCGCACCCCGTTCTCCGTGAGGGGCGTCAGCATGACGATGACAGCACAGCCGCTCTCCCACACCATCTGCGGACAGAAAGGCGGGCCCAGGTGAGGCTCCGTCACACGTGCCGCACTGTGCTAAGGGACAGGCAGCGAAGGGACACTGCGCTCACAGACACCTGTTGCCATGGGGCAGCGTCTGCCCTCCGCTGCTCTGGTCTCGCCACGCGTTCTGTGGGATGTGGGAGCCAGCGAGTCCCCCCATGTAGCCCCTCCACGGTTCCACGCCAGCCATGTGCCTGCCCAACCTTCGGTCTGTAAAGGACACTTTCTACCACGCGACACAAGCAGAGATCTGTCACCACAGTTATTTTTTGGTGGTTGTCATTACTTTGCTGGGCCAGAGAAACAGTTCACCCGGCGGACCTGCGGAGCCATCGGCAGCGGCTGAGAGGGGGCTTTCCAAAGCACACTACAGACTCCACAGCAGCATATCTCAGTAGGGTTCAAATCAAAGCAGACCCCAATCTGATTTTGCCATTTGTCCTGGCCACACGGGACAGCCCCAGACCCGGTGAACAGAGCGTGCCCGCCACCTGGGCTGCACAGTCCTCCCGCGCCCTCTCGCAGACGCGGCCTGCCACTGGGGGCGTGAACCTGCGTTCCCGGCCCAGTGTGTCCAGGGTGGCCGGCTCGTCCCCATCACGGGAGGACTGCTCTCCTGCACGGGTCACATTTCCCACAAGACTTCACAGAGATGTCGACAAGCATTTGTGCTTGGACGCGAGTCCGTATCTGAGAGCTTCCATTCCTTTGAAATACAAATATAAAAATCCAGTTATGATCTTGTTATTTAAGAATCCACATCTCACCTATGAAAAGGCTTGTCCCTCATAGTTCCTGTTACTGAATTCCCCCGTCAGATTACATTTTAAAATCAGGCTTGTGCTTGGTGTTTTCCTCTGTTAATGCTATTTATTTCCCCGTGGGATAGAAACAGCTGATTTCCCTGGGGTGCCTCACTGCCTGCTACCTACGTTGGCATTTAACGGGACCTCCTGAGATATTGGCCAAAATCCCACAGTAGATGTGAAGCTCGCGTGAGCCAGGAGCTTCCCTCGGCCTCTGTGCCAGTCGGGCAAGAAGGGCCGGGCGTGCTCTCTGCCTTCAGACCTGCTCCCCGTCTGCACGCCCGTCACGCGGCAGTTTAATGTGCCCTTAGAAAGCGAAGAAGCTCGTCGGAGCCATTACGGAAATGAGGAGAAACACGGGTTTTATGAGTGTAATAAAAACACAACGGTCTAGACCATAAACTAATCACCGGCACCCCGCTGGTGCCGCCCAAGTGTGACGTTGGGGACCTGCCGCGGCAGAGGGGCCTTGCAGCTCACGGTGGCAGCCTTGGGAGCCCGCCTGGCTCTCTGAAGAGGTGCTCAAGATTAAATCCAAACAAACTCCATAAACTAAGGTCCCAGCCTCCCACGGTGCCCTGGGGGTGACGCTTCTCCTTAGGTCTGTGTCACCAGACACACAGGCAGCTGCGTTGGGTCCCAGGGCCACAAGCTGCTCAAGAGCCTGCTGAGGTTTTCTGGTGTCCCAACCTGGGGGAGCCAGAGCACCTCTCACTAGCTCCCACCGTCACCCACGTGCCGCCCGCTTAGCCTCAGAGCATGCTGAGGGAACTTGACGGTTGGCGAGAACAGAGAAAGAACCTGGTCCACCAGGTCTCACTTCCGCCCTCTTCACCCCAGGCTTGGTCTGCAGCAGGCAGGACATGAGGTGCTGCTGCCCGTGGCCGGGGAGGGGGACACTGTGCCATGCACCTTGAGAGAGCTGAGCTTCCTCCTTGGACATAGGCGATGACCTGGAGTCCCTGTTCAATCTAGCGCCGTCCCCTGGAATAGGCCGGAATGAAACTAGAGAGCGACAGGCTGGTTCAGGAATGGCAGTTTCGGGACTTCTGTTAAGTATCTGAGAACACTTGTGGTCTGCACTCTGCTATCGGACCTCTGACTGAGCCATGTGCCAGGCCTGAGGCTGGAGACTCGATGGGGAAAGGCAGGGCTGGTGCCATGTGTGCCTAGAGGCACCTGTGGTGGCCCTCAGACCCCCTCCGCTTGCAGACTTTCAGGGGGTTACTTTTCCCAGGCAGGAAGCAGGGTCCTCTATGCCCTGATCAAGATGAAGCTGCGACGTAGACGGTGAGTGAGCTTGGGCACGGACCCCACGTGTGAATGGCTGGTGCTGTGCTCGGAGGATTGAGATCCCCCAGACGTGCCGGCTCCTCTGCTCAGAGCCCACCTCTGTGAGCCTGGGCGGGGAAGGGGCAGAGGGTCTTCCCCCCCATTCCTCACAGTGGCTGGGTTCCAGGGGCTCTCTTGGTGTGAAACCAGGGCTAAGCCCACTGCCAATCCTGGGGAACCGCCCAGGGCCAGAGACTGGTGATGGATGCAGAAGAACTGGAGTAGCTCAGACAGTTCGCCTGCGCATGGGAAGTGTGGGCTGGTGCTGCCCAAGTGTGACGTTGGGGACCTGCCATTTGAGCCAGCTCACGGGCGATTAGAGCCCTGGAGCTCCCTGCTGAGGCTGGACTATCCTCTCCAGTGGCGCTGAAGTGGCGCCTGGTGCCTGTATGTGGCCCCTGGAAGGCCATCTGTTTGTTTTGGTACTGAGGGTGGACTCCGGGGCACGCTGCCACTGTGCTGCCACCCTGGCCCTTCAATTTTATTTTGAGACGGGTCTCCCTATGTTGCGCAGACTGGCCTCAAGCTTGGGACCACCCTGCCTCGGGCCCAGAGCTGCTGGAGTCCAGGCGTGTGTCCCTGAGCCCGGCTAGAAACAGGGCGTTGCAGGTGTGATGAGCTGAGACGAGGCCCTACTAGAGGGGCTGGTCCTAATCCAGCCTGATGTCCTTCTCACAAAGAGGGCCACACCAGGCCAAGGCAGGGCCCAGGGCGGACCACGCCAGGGCCGGCACGGACAGGGCGATGCTGCCAAAAGCCAGGGGCCCCTGCGGCCCCTGAGCTGGAGGTGCAGGACCTGCCCTAGGGCTCTGTAGGAGTGCCCTGTCCACTCCCGGGTCTGGGACTTGGGCCTCCGGCACTTGAGAATGCACCCCGGTTGCTGTGAGCCGGCCTGTTCACTGTCCCAGCAGCCCGAGCCAACCAGCACACCCCGGACACTGCCGCCCAGCAGACCTCGGCAGGCGGGGGCGTCAGAGTCGGGGAGCAGGAGGGGCCCGGGTCCACCTGCTCAGAGTCCTCCTTGAGTACTGAGTATCTCACCAGCAAACACAGAGGAGCCCGCTAGAACGTGGCCCAGGAACCCAACCAACACTCCTCCAAAGGAGACCCTGGTGGTGGCCACCAGCGCTGCATACAAGGGGACACCAGGTGGGCGCAGACCACAGGACTCCACTGCACCGTCTGAGGCCAGGAAGCAGCACAGGCCTGAGGTGCAGAGAACAGGACAGGGCCCGGGAAAACTCAGAGGCTCCTCAGAGCTGTCGCGGTTCTGGGTACCTGTGCAGCAGCCCCAAGTCCCTCCCTGGAGACAGCTGCCTCCCACGTGCACCGTGGCCACGAGCAGATGTGTGGGTGGGCGGTGGTGGGCACAGCAGGATGCGCCTGAGCCGCAGGGGCAATCCTGCCATTCAACACGGTGGCCTGGAGGGCCGAGCCCGACCTGCCAGGCGGAGGGTGGAGGACGCAGGCCCCGGCACAGAAGAGAGCTGAGCAGGCCACTGGCATGGCGGCAGGGGCCGAGGCCGGGCGGAGGCTGGGCGAGGGAGGTGGCCGCAGGGTAGAGGTCTCGGCTGTGTGAGGAGCAGGCTCTGGAGACCTGGTGGCAGCGGGACTCCTGCTCAGTGTCGGGTCCTGGGCATCTGTGAGCAGGTGGACTGTTCCGCACCCCACACAGCCAGGGGAGGAGAGGGGCCTGTGGGTCTGTCTGCACCGGTCTCACCAGGTGCACCTACATCAAACGCCAGCTGTGCACCTCCATCAGACACACTGCCTAGACTGTGTGTGACGCGCCCCTCCCCCTTGCCTTATCTCATCTGTGTCTCCACATCTTTCTTCCTCCAAATTGCTGTCTCCTGAAGACTCGTTCCTACTCTGGAGCAGGCTCTGGAGTGATTTATTACAGCCGACGCTTAATTGAAAGAGAGGTGACTTGAGGCCAGGCCATCAGTGGCCTGTGCACAGGGTCCTCCTGGGCTGCTTGAACGTAGAGACTGGCTCTGTTCTTTGAAGTGGGAGCGCCTGCCTGTGTGCTGGAGCTGCTGGTGGGGCAGACAGCCCTCGCCAGAGAAGGCAGAGTGTCCCCAGGCCCCAACCTGGCCCACTCTCCTGCAGAGAAGCTGCTTTCACAGGTGGACGCAGGGAACTCTGAACAGCAAGGTGTCCATCCTCAAGGGTCACAGACACGCTTGTCATGCCCGATGAGCCCACGGTAGCTGTGTGGGCAGAGCACACAACCCCTTCCCAGCCTGTATAGTCAGCCCAGGCATGCAGTCCAAGCCTCTGGGGCCCTGGTCCTTCCAGGACTGAATTAGGGTGTCAAGCCCAGAGTTTTGTAGAGGAGGAGGGTTGAAGGGTGGGGTGGGGGAGAGAGGAGGGGGAAGGAGGGAGGAGAAGGGGGGTGGGAGGGAAGGTGACAGGGTGGGGTGGGAGAGAGGGGGATGAGGAGAGGGAGGGAGGAGGAAGAGGGGGGAGGAGGGAGGAGGAGGGGGAGGAGGGAGGAAGAGGAGGGGGAGGGAGGAGGAGGGAGGGGAGGAGGGAGGAGGGGGAAGAGGGAGGAGGAGGAGGAGGGAGGAAGAGGAGGAGGGGGAGGAGAGAGGAAGAGGAGGAGGAGGAAGAGGGAGGAAGAGGAGGAGGGAGGAGGGGGAGGAGAGAGGAAGAGGAGGAGGGAGGAGGAGGGGGAGGGGGAGGAGGAGGGGGAGGGAGGGGATGGGAGCTCCTGCCATGTTTCAGCTGTGAACCATAAAAACCAGCTAAGCAGGAGTCTTGGGAGATGTCTTTCTAATTCCAATTCCCATGTCCACAGGAGGACTGCCATGGCCACCAAGACAGTGGTGGACACGT